AACTCTCTTATTATCGAATACGACACCGACCACCTTTACTGATACGTTATATTGTACGATAGATACCTCGAAGATGGCAGACAATGAAAACGAGAGAATGTCCGCAGGCTGAATTAGGGCGGTGGTTGAGACAGAGATCCGGACGATGGAAGGCCATATGTACTGGCGCTGTCGCGCTGTTACTGTGGACCCGAAGAACACTAACCGGATTAGGGTAGCTTGCCGAGACGAAGCTGAGTATCAGCTGGTTAAAAGGGTGGCGGAAGCAAAGATCGGCACAGGAGCTTGGGTGCTTTGTGACGAACTGTACCCGATCAAGGTGGACAGTGTCAACAAAGCCGTAGTGCTAGACGAAAAAGACGAGATCCGAGTTGGAGCTGTAGCCGCTTTTAGTGAGGAGAATGAGGTGGCCGTTGCGAAGATTGTATGGCTCAGTAGAAAGGGAAGTGCTAAGGTCTATGGGTCTATGATCGTTTACCTAACTAAAGGCACCGATGTATAGAGGCTGCTGGCCGATGGATTTTTTCACGCTGGGGGAGAATCTGGTGTGACCAGTGTCTTTGAATATCGACCACGACCGATGCAATGCTACAATTGCCAGGATATTGGCCACAAGGTATTTCAGTGTAAGAACGGCCAGAGGTGTGTAAGATGCGCTATGGAGGGCCACCGCCATAGTAACTGCGCCCAAACGGTTCCAAAGTGCGTTCTATGCGGAGGCCTATATGAATTATATAGCAAAAGTTGCCAGAAGCTGTATCCGCTACATTATGAATAAAACACTCCGAATAATCCAACTGAATATGAGGAAACAGGGAGCAGTATATGACAGTTTAATGAACGACGAAGAAACTCAGGGGGCAGTAGCACTAGCGATTCAGGAACTCTAAGCGAGAAGAATCTAAGGGCGGCTCCTAACAACCCCGATGGGACATCACAAATGGACTAAGGTGGTTCCCTCCACCTGGAGGGAGGGCTGATGGGCGATCCGAAGCATGCTTTGGATCAATAAGGAAGTGGAAGCAGAGCAAGTGCCGATCGAGTCGCTGGATCTGACAGCGGTGGTCATCCGCTTCCCCGAGCGACTGATTTTTATGGCATCGGTTTACGTAGAGGGAGGGGATGCCTCGGCGTTGGACGACGCATGCGATCACCTTAGAAAAGCAATCACAGAGGTACAGCAAGATTTAGGGACGGTGGTGGAGGTTATGGTTGTAGGGGACTTCAACCGCTATGATCAACTCTGGGGAGGAGACGACGTGTCTTTGACAAGGCAAGGAGAGGCGGAACTAATCATCGACATCATGAACGAATTTTCTCTGAGTAGCCTACTCAAACGAGGCACAAAGACATGGTACGGTGGAGGGCAGACTGGGGACTGTGAGTCCACGATCGACCTCGTCCTGGTCTCGGAAAACTTGACAGACTCGATGGTCAAGTGTGCAATACACGGAACAGAACATGGCTCGGACTACTGTGCCATTGAGACTGTTTTTGATGCGCTGTGGCAGACCCCCCAGCATGCGGAACGACTTCTGCTGAAGAACGCACCATGGAAGGAAATTAATGCCAGAATTACTAGTACTCTAGCCACCACTCCGTTAGAAGGCACAGTGCAGCTGAAAACCGACCGCCTCATGTTTGCGGTGTCGGAGGCAGTGCATACTTTGATACCGAGGGCTAAACCGTCGCCACACGTAAAGCGATGGTGGACGGGTGACCTAACACAGCTCCGTCAGATATACATATATTGGAGAAACTACGCCCGCTCGCAGCGACGTGTAGGGCGAAAGGTGCCATACCTGGAGAAAATGGCCGCAAGTGCGGCGAAACAATACCACGATGCAATTCGGAAACAAAAGAAGAAGCACTGGAATGAGTTTCTGGCTGATAACGATAATATATGGAAAGCCGCGAAATACCTGAAGTCGGGAGACGATGCAGCGTTCGGGAAGGTCCCGCAGCTCCTCAGGGCAGATGGAACTATTACCACTGATCACAAAGAGCAAGTAGAAGAACTACTGACCAAATTCTTCCCGCCCCTGCCGGAAAATATCGATGGGGAAGGAACTAGACCACAAAGAGCGCCGGTGGATATGCCGGCCATCACTATGGAAGAGGTCGAACGGCAGTTGTTGGCCGCAAAGTCTTGGAAAGCGCCGGGTGAGGACGGTCTACTGGTGATAGTGTGGAAGATGACGTGGCATGCGGTTAAATACCGGGTTCTAGAATTATTCCAGGTATCTCTGGACGAAGGCACGTTACCGAGGCAATGGAGACATGTGAAGATTATACCGCTGAAGAAACCGAACAAAGAGAACTATACCATTGCGAAGGCTTGGAGGCCGATCTCACTCCTGGCGACACTGGGGAAGATACTGGAATCAATTATCGCAGAAAGGATCTCACACGCGGTGGAGACCTATGGCCTGCTTCTAACTAGTCACTTCGGGGCCCGAAAGCAGCGGTCTGCGGAGCAGGCACTCTTACTCTTGTAAGAGCAAATCTACGCGGCGTGGCGTGGCCGGCGGGTCTTGAGCTTGATCAGCTTCGATGTCAAGGGGGCCTACAATGGGGTTTGCAAAGAACGACTGCTCTAGAGGGTGAAAGTGCGAGGGATACCGGAGGTCCTACTCCGGTGGGTCGAAGTGTTCTGCTCGGAGCGAACGGCGACTATCCAGATCAACGGGCAAGTATCTAAGGCGTGAAGCCTCCCACAGGCTGGTCTGCCTCAGGGATCACCCCTGTCCCCCATCCTATACCTCTTCTTCAACGCAGATCTCGTACAACGACAGATCGACGGCCAGGGAGGAGTGATTGCCTTCGTGGATGACTTTACTGTGTGGGTGACCGGACCGACTGTGCAGAGCAACCGGAACGGTATTGAAGCGATCGTCAATGAAGCACTCGACTGGGAAAAGAGAAGTGGAGCGACCTTTGAAGCAGAGAAAACTGCCATTATACACTTCGCCCCCAAGGCCCACAAATCGGACCCGGAGCTATTCATCATTAAGGGAGAGACCGTTGAACCTAAAGACTATGTTAAGATTCTTGGCGTGATAATGGATACAAGACTCAAATACAAGGAACATGTCGCGAGAGCGGCGTCCAAAGGCCTAGAGGCAGTGATGGAGCTTCGGCGACTCCGAGGTCTGTCCCCAGCGACAGCGCGGCAGCTCTTCACAGCTACTGTGGCCCCGGTGGTGGACTACGCCTCCAATGTCTGGATGCATGCTTTCAAGAACAAGAATATCGGGTCGATCAACCGGGTTCAACGAGTCGGAGCGCAGGCGATTGTAGGAACGTTCCTCACCGTTGCGACCAGCGTGGCGGAGGCCGAGGCTCACATTGCTACTGCACGATATCGGTTCTGGAGACGAGCCGTGAAGATGTGGACGGACATTCACACCCTACCAGTAACCAATCCCCTCCGCAGGAGTACAGCTCAGATCAGAAAATTCAGAAGATACCACCGGTCGCCATTGTATTAGGTCGCAGACGCGCTGAAGAGCATCGAGATGGAATCACTGGAAACTATCAATCTATTTACATTAGCGCCATGGGAGGAACGTATACACGGCGATAGACAGGATTCATCAGAGACATAGACCGAAACGGGCGGAGTCATGCGTATTGCGGTCAGCAGTTCAGCACGAAATGAGAAGGTAGGATTCGGCGTGGCGATCGAGAAGCAGCCACCTCGGTATCGTAAGCTGAGGCTGAAGACCTTCTCTGTCACACTGGGCGCAAGAGCAGAGCAGAACCCATACTCCGGCGAATTGGCAGCAATGGCATACGCACTGGGTACGCTACAGGGACTGAAACGGTGCAGGGTCACGCTGCTCACCAGCAACAAAGCGGCGGGACTTACACTGAGGAATCCTCGACAGCAGTCAGGCCAGGAACATATCTGCCAGATATACAAGTTGACCCAAAGACTACGGAGACACGAAAACCGAATGGATATCTGCTGGGTTCCGACCAGCGAGCATAACCAATTGTTGAGCCTGGCGAAAGAGCAGGCCAGAGTCGCGACACAAGAGGATGCTACCCCTCAAGCACAGGTCCACAGAATGAAGTCAACCACCCTGAACATCGCACGGTCCCAAGCAGTCACCAGCAAAGGCTTGTCAGAGAATATAGGGCGACATTCCAAACGAGTAGATGCAGCACTCCCAGGGAAACACACCCGGCAGCTGTATGATCAATTATCGTGGAAAGAAGCAAGCGTGCTGGCCCAACTCCGGACTGGCATGGCAAGACTTAACGGATATCTTTACCGAATCAGCGTCGCCGAGACAGATCAATGTGCATGTGGACAAGCAAGAGAGACCGTGGAACACTTCCTCTTTTGATGTCGGAAGTGGACCGCACACCGGACGGGAATGCTGCAATGTACCCATGCTCACCGAGGGAATATATCCTTCTTCCTGGGCGGAAAGTCGCCGTCAGATGATCAGAACTGGATACCGAATCTAGAAGCAGTGCGAGCCTCAATACGGTTTGCAATCGCCACGGGCCGACTGGATGCCACTTAGCCATGTCGACCAACATAAACGAACCCCTCCCCCCCGAACTAACCCCCACCCACCACCTCGTGCCAGAGACGGTAGACGCGCTTTAACTGCCGAGAATAGGATGTTGAACACTTGAAGAAGCGCCTTCAAGCCAGCCTACTAACAAAATTACTATCCCGCGAGGATCCACCACGATAATGACAGTTAAGATGACATATACAGAAAGTAACCATGTATGGGCTGCAAGGAGACACGGCATATACTAGGGACATGTATTGATAAAATAGTGATAGTTGCCCTTTCGGCTTCGCCGCCGGGCGTTAATGAATTGTGTGTGTGTGTGTGTGTGTGTGTAAACAGATGAAAAGATTAGGTCGATATGCCACCTCGAAGAGATATCCGACTCCGGCCCTATCTAGATGTTTCTCAAACACGACACCATGGTAATATATGGAAGTAGCTCGAAGAATAGAATGGCTATTCATGCTTTACTATTCAGGTGCTGGTAGTCGAGAAGACTGGATTGAGGTTGCTCTTGAGAGTATTGGATACGAATTCAGTATGCTCCAGCTTGAGAGAAACAATTTAGCCAGCATGCTTCAGCTCTATGAACAAGACATGGGCCACTTGGACGACTGCATTCAACATGTGGAAGAGATTGCAAAACAGCGGAATGGGACTTTGATTCATAAAATTGAGGATCTGGAAGCCAGACTCGCGGTTGGGGAAGTCCCAGGGAAAAATAGTTAAGTAAAAATAGTGGGCATGCACTACTGAAAGAATGTCTTCTTTGCAGTTTGCTTCTAACCGTGGCAACCATAGACGTGCCCTTTATGTGGAAAGTTAGCATTCTAGAGAGATAAAAACACTCTATTATCTTCGACGCAGGAGCCGGTGTCGCCCTTGTGGATCTTGTTGTGTCGTCGCAAGTTTGTGTACACGGAGACTTGTCGTCTGCAACGTTCCACGTCACATATGAATGCTGGAGTCGCGTCAATCGTTGGTCCTCCACTGCTTCATGCTGTCCCGGACTCACGCTTCTCGCCGCTGTAGCTTTAAATAGCTTGTGAGAGATCCTGAACTTGCGGTTCTTCTTCATTTTAAAGGGTATCTCGAGGCTAAACTAGTTCAGTATGAACTGCGGTATTGACGACACGCTGCCAGCAAGGAGCAATGGCTTAGTAAACCACGAAAGAGCAAATTTCTCGGACGATAAAGAGTTATAGTACGACACGGCTGCCCACAAGTAGTTAATAAATAAAGTGTTGTTTCGGCATGGGAGTCTGTATATCTAATATTTAAATCGAGGAATTTTAAGGCCCAAAAAGTTGGTATTCGTCTCCTCTTGCCTTTGCTGACGCAAGTAGGTTGCAACTCAATCACCTGCGCCTTATTGGCGATTAACCACTGAGGGACCAGTTTCACTGCCATGAAGCCATCGGTGGACGGCCGCTCTCAAGACCTCTTCCTTATGAAAATCGAGTATTTCGCAATGCCTTATGTCATGATCAGCATTTCAATTCAACATAAATTTAGATGGCCAGGCATACAACTCCGCTTTCCAAGCGTCAACTGAATGATCGGCGTTATTGAATGTCCAATCGACTTTTTCTTCAGCCTCCGGTTCATCTGTAGGATCGTGATAAAGAGCTAGGTAGGCAAATTCCAAAGATTCGGGCGCAGTAGCTCTCCCTTGGGGGTCAAAAACAAGCATATTCTCCAATAGTTCAGCGGCTGATATTATTAGCATCTAGGTTCACAAGAAACGGAGGGGTGTCCCTGGATAAATCAAAACGTACCTTTTGATCCAATGCCAGGAAGTTTTTCCGACAATGGTTGACCTTCATTGCTCGGAAGTGTCTGGATGAAATCGATAACCTATAACGCAGATTTGTTAGAGGATACTGCTATACCATAATGAACATCCCGTGCACTCGTGGCCACAACAAGATATAAAGCATAGACAAACATTTCCATTGGTCATCTTTTTCGTGACAGTTTCAGACGGTGTGCCTAGCAGCTCCGTGATCATATGAAATTGTTGAATATCATTTTGGCCAGGGAAAAGAACCTTTCCCTGTAACAACTCGGCAAATATACAGCCTGCACTCCAAATGTCAACTGGCTTGCCATATTTTTGGCCTTCCAACATAGCTTCGGGGGCCGTATAGTGTTGGGCAGAGGCATGGCGAGTGATCCAAGGACCGTAAACTCGCGGCTGTCCATATCCCTTGATTTTGAGGTCACAGTTATGGCTCACCATAATATTGCTTGGCTGCAGGTCACCATGAACGACGCCGGCCGAATGAATATATTTGAGTCCACGCTGGAATCTTATTAGCGACGAATGATTAGCAGTGGTTGACAGACGAACCATTATCTGGTACAAGAAGTACTGGACAAACTCTCCTTGCATGGGCTTTGTTCTCAAAAGTGTTTGAAGATTGATTTCCATTAGCTCCGTAACAAGGTAACTGGAGACTGTCAGACTTTGACTTTCAAGTTTATTTTCTGAAGTGGCATACACATCGTGCGAAGGAGAGATAAATATATCGACGACAGCGGCAACCTATTCTTTTAGTGGAAATCCTCAGGTGAATGTATAGAATCTTGCTCCACGAACATTTTCATGCTTCATATGTCTCAATAATTTAATTTCCCGCAATATATGCCTAGTCTTGCTTGCCGTTGAAAATGGGTCCAAATATTTTTGCACCGTGACACGCTGATGAGATTTCCGGTCCTCGGCAGAGCTTGAGTGATACCTTGGTGAGTTTCAGCTTTCGAGGTTCAAAGATAGAAGACCAACCAGACAAGCCCGAAGACACTACTTCGCAAAGGCTGTATTAAAGAATACCTAGGCCGTATTAGATTCAGTCGTCTTCTTTTGGGGAGCAAAACTTCCGTACCGCATCGTCGTCTCAAAGACTTCGCCCCGGAACTGATTTTGTATGAACTGTGCCATACGGGGAAAGGGCGCGGTTAGTGAAATTGCTATACGTTGTCGCTGAGACCAAGTTCAGGAGGTCGAGGTGCCGCCTCTGTCCCAGATATTCGATCTAACTTAGTACAGCAAACAAGGAAAGCAAGAGGCAACTGTTCGGGGAAAAGCTTCCAGCCATTGGGGACCGTCGCCAAGACTTTTAGTGGATCATGGTGCGGTAATGAAATGATTAGCTAATAAAGTCGCAAGCGAATACCACGTCCATCCTACGCGTTCGCGCACGTCCCGTCCCCTCATTCTTTATCCCAAGTCGCGTGAGGCAGGGCAAGATCCTCAAGGCTCAAATTCACAGAAGGGGTGTCTAACCCTTTGACGCGCTTTCCGATGGGTCGGTAGCTTCCGCACTAACCGACACGCTTCAATCACCGTCAAGACGTACTAGCAAGGGGATCTATCGTTCGTGCTGCGAATCCCTGTGGTAACCCGCTCTTTGTTTTGGTGACCGACCAAGAAGCCTTACTGAAAAGATCCTACCAACCGGTCTTCGGAGAGCTTTCGATGATAGTTGTAGTATTGAACCTTGATGCGGGGCTGCTTGGGGCGCGATCTGTCATACATTGTCACCAGAGAGGAGGGGGAGCTCTCTGTATCATTTCCTATTCTCCCCGCTGAAAAATATTCCCAAAAAGAGAGCAGGCACAGATATTGATTGGATTCGTTAGAAAGCTAGCAATAGGGCCAATTATCTAGGAAGCTATGAAGTCAGCGTGGTGTCAAGTGCCGGCATCGATGCACATACCTGCCATGAATGGAGCCCTCCATCAAGCGTCAGCAATCTAGAGGTGGTGTATCAGGCGTCAGTATAGTCACCAGTTGGAGGGATCAGGTCCCGTACCATCAGAATGAAATTCTAAGGTGAAGGTCAAACTCCGATGCAGATTTGTGCCACTCGGTGTTCTCTCGTTCTGTTAATATATAGAGGCCGAACTTGATATGTGGAATCGCATCAGCACAAAAACAGGCAAGGCGGAAGAGAAATTGCTTATGTCTTAGACTGGGCTGACTGGGGGTGTTTTTGAAATGATCGTTGTGCTGAGCCCAGGGACATCTTTATAGAGTTGCAACCACCACGTCGCTTGGGTAGCTGTGATCAAGTTTCTGAATGAATTGAACCTCATAGTGTGGCCTGTTGAACTGTTTCACTCTTGAGTGTATGTTGTTGTGGGTGGCACCATGATTTTCATCTCGATAAAGATCTATTCTGAGGTCATATTCCACGACATCAACGTCGCTTCAACATTCGTGACGCAGTCACCACAAGTCGAAACACCAATGAGGCGCCGTGTCAACATTCATAAACACCAATTTCTACCTTTCAAAATACACACTGGCTATTTCTTCTACATAAGGCAGTCCCAGTTAGCTTGTTCTCAACGATGATGATTGCTCGTTTCGATGATGAATCTCTGACGACCAACGTCGCATAAACTGATTCGGTATGCAGACTTGTCGGCCGGGCTACTTTCAATGATGTTGTTAAGTGTTTCACTTTTTCTGCCTACATTGGAATCAATTTATCGTCTCATGGGCTAAGTTACTAATAAAGGGTTGATTTTTAAGAAAGAAAGGAAAATCGTATTCCTGAGCCCTGTAAGTAACTCTGATTTACGAGGACAAATTTCCCAGCGATTAGCATGGTCAAGCCGAACGCAAGCGAGGACAAGTAAGCAAGAATTGACAGCTTGATGCAGCTATTTTGAGTGTCTCTTTGAACCTTCCATGGAACCTCTTCTGAAACAAGCAATTAATGAAGCTGCGATCTTTTTCCGCTCATCCCTTTTGCCGGTTAATTTTGGGTGATTATCCCGGGCCGCTTGCTAGACCGGTAATTACCTAGAAACACGATGTACCAAAACAGCCGCCTCAGGACCTACAGAAACATAACAGGCACAGAATGTCGCTCAAGAGCACGCGACAAAGCTCGAACCGAAAGAACGTCGCACAGAAGAGCGGCTGGAGTACAGATAAGGATACATTCTACTATACACTTCAACATAGTTTTTGAATTGGCAACCTAAGTTTATTGCACTTTCACGCAACCCTTGCTAATAGTCGAGTTGTTTCAGAAATGAGACTACAGACTAGCTCATTATCTCATTCGTGCGTGTTACTGAGGTTCCAAGCGCGTTCGAACAAATGAGGGAATCTCAGTGGCAAATCACAGCTCTAAAATCTATGATTCGTTAGCGCATGTCTCGACCATAGAACATATCAATTAAGCTTCATCCATGACTCATCAGGAGCAATAAATATATCGGGAGTAGACCTTCCCCAACACTGAAACAATATCGATGCCATACTTTATTTCCCATTCATGCATAATCTAAAATTGTGCATCATCATTATCCCAGGTAAAAGCTTTTCGAATGACCACTGTGATCACCGAGAAGTCAAACAGCCTTCAGAATACTTAGATCATCAGCCTGTCATCACTAGGTGATATGTCCCTCAATGACATTGGCAGTGCTCTTGATTCTGAGCTTCCCCTTCCAGTCACCTATATCGTCTCATCATTCTTGTCAGTCGCCATCTATAATGTAGTCGAGCTAACATTTACTCTTTTTTTAACTTTCAAACGACGAAACGGCCTCTATTTCTGGAGCTTCCTCGTGGCAACATGGGGAATTGCTATCTACTCCATCGGGTTCATTCTCAAGGATTTCAACCTTGCAAAGTCTATCTCATATTTTTACGTTACATTAATAATCACTGGTTGGTGTATGATGGTAACAGGCCAGTCAATGGTCCTGTACTCTCGTCTTCATTTGATCGTGCATAGTCACATCATCCTCTGGTTGGTTCTAGGCATGATTATCATCGATGCGATCATACTGCATATTCCGACTACAATCCTCTGCTACGGATCTAACTCTCCTCTCTTCGTCCGTTTCTCTGTACCATACGCGGTATACGAAAGAGTTCAAGTTTCAATATTCTTTGTTCAAGAGGTCATCATTTCGGGTCTCTACGTGTATGAGACAAACAAAATGCTTCATTCTGAGGAACCCATCAGCGAAATACACGACAACGCCGGCAAGAGACTTCTTCTACATCTTTTATTCATTAGCATCACAGTGGTAGTGCTGGACATCTGCATCTTGGTACTCGAGTTTGCGGGCAGATACGCGTCACAAACAGCAGTCAAAGGATTCATATACAGTGTGAAATTGAAGCTGGAATTCAATATTCTGAACCGATTGGTTGAGTTTGTGCAGAGGCCGAGCAACCCAAATTCAGATTTGATTTATGGGAGTGGTTCTCGACACTATTTGAACACGCGGCAGGAAGAGCAAGACACCAATGGAGTTCGTCATAATCGATGCCGTTATTCGTTGCTTCTTTTCGGCCGCAAGGTTCAGCATGAGCTTGGCATCTCTGCTGAGAAATATATGCGGAGGGTTCTTCACATTACGCAGAGGAGGGGTGTTGTCCAAGAATGTGCGGATTCGGGCTCCATTATGGAGCCAGAAACAATGATTCCAAATCTGGGTAATCAGCCAGCCGATGATTACAGGCTTCGAGGTCAAGCTGCCGAATGAGAGGAATCTAGTTTCGTTCAAGATGGTCTTGTAATGATGTTAATTTGATCTGCGGCATGCCAGACTTCATGAGTGTCTGGAGACAGCTTCTACTAGTCGACTTCCGCCAAGTCAAGTGATCCCGCGCTACAACCATTGGTTGATTCCCGAATGCCTAGCTACGCCTTTTCGGAAGACAATAATGCTGAGTTCACGGAATGTCACCACCAAAGAATGTCAAACCTCCCGTGTCTTCACAGTTCATTGCTGATTTAACGACCGCAATTGAAGTCACTGGGACCGCGCCGACATTATATTGTTGGCATTTGTTGAGAGCTTTGAAACTGAGAGAGACGCGCTAAGTGGCACCATTGACCCGGACCCGTACTTTTTGGGCTCGGCTTTAACTTTAACTGTCGAGAATACGGGTAAAGAATAGCAGCCGAACAGAGCTAATACGAGACGGAAAATTTGGCTTATGTAGTGATTCAATATACTTAAATTGTTTAGATTGTAACTATTGGGTACATTAAAATAGATAGGTACCATCAAGTTCCCTTCCGCACGGTCGAATGCCTGGTGACGGGATCTAAAGAAAGACGTCGGGCGCAAGCTAAATAGCAGGCGCACGTACTAGGCAATACTTTAAACCAACAAAATTTTTTCCTCCTCAAGAAATGCTCCCTGTTCGCTGGGATTATTCATGGGTAGGTTGGATTTTGCCGTAGGTTGTCGCCCGATAAATGATATGTTCTATTCGGGATTGTTGCGGAGAGTCCCTCCCCCTTGCGTCGGGTCCAAAATATTCCGTACTTGTAATCGCACACAGATGTTGCTCGTATATCCTCTCCTTCGAAAGGAACATCGCCGTTCCGAAGGAGAGTTGGGCTCTCTTCGCAGCGGTTTCTTCCCGCCACCGCAGAACCCCTCATGTATGTACTAAGTATGTAATCATATTTTATGCGCCTTAGTGGCTAGACTGGCACATGAAAATGTGTTGTATGGCTCTAGACTGTGGATTTCACCGTCTAAGTTCGTTGGAGGGCCACTCATAGCTCAATACTTATGGGGGACAATATTATGATAGCACACAAACAGCAACACTTATTTTCCCTGCTCCTTTACGTCGTCCATCTTAAAAAAGCCTTTGTGATTCTTCATAGCTATAGGAACGGGCTCGGGGCTCGAGGAAGCGCGACTTAAATCCTGGGAGTAGGATTGAAGGCATGCCGAATCATGGCATCCTGTGACTCCTCAGCCGGGGTATAAGTATCCAACGTGCAGTCAAATCAGTGACCATCATAACCCATCGGACTCTCGATTAACGTATACCCGCAAAAGAAGCCTGCTAAATGGCTGGCAAGACGAATCCCAGTTCGTATCTCAAATTTCATCTTCTTCCATAATGTATGAAGTCTTTTAGACTACAAGCTCTGGCAGCCT